GGTATACCTGTACCATTTCTTTGCTGACATTTAAGGTATTTTAGTCATGACTTAAAAAAATGAAAATTGGCGTTGCCCAATTAAAGACTATGTACAAAACTCAGTAATAATATAATTTGTTTTAGAGATATACGAAACAAAAAAGTTCACCAACATATTTACATATAATTACACAGACTAAGAAACCAAAATTATGCAAATGAATAATATATCTTTTAGGCTTCCTATTTCAACGATTTCCATCACAAAATAGTGCCACGTTCTTTTACTCAGTACTCACGTTCATATTTCTGTAAATATGATCTTTTTAGTTTTATATTATACGATATATGCAATGCAATTTCCATCCGTCCATTACAGCCTACAATAGTCCACCGCTGAACATAGGCCTCCCCCATAGATTGCCTGATAGAGAGCATTTCGCAATCATTAATGGCGGATGGATTGGCATTTGCTGGCATTCTTATTTTAAACTGTTATCAGGAATATGCTGGTGCCCGTCCCCTGTTTCAGCTTCCCTCTGTCGCCGTTTACGACACCCACGTGGCGAAATGGGGGAGTTTAAATATAAATTTCACATTTATATTTTTTTAAGAAATGTTATATCTTATGTCCTATATGTTATCACTCTTATAATCCGATAGGACGACAATCCGACACGACCGGGGTGAGATCAGGTGCAGGGCCAACGGCTTTACGTGTTTTCCGAGGCACGGCGGTGTTCATCGCCAACTTCATGACTTCGGACTGCAAACGAGAATTTCTGGACAGAAAGAATAAAATAAATATAAAAACATTTAATTAAATATTTTAGTTAATTATTGAAGCTACTAGTAAAACTGGAATTTCATATTTTTTAAAGTCTTTATATAAAAGAAGTACCTAATTAACTTTATGAGATCAGTGATAGTGACAAAAAATTACAAAATATTATTTACTTTTTTAACAAAACTACTAAGAAAAAACAAAATTAAAAGTGCATTTTAAAGCTAATGTTTTGAAAGTCAATGGAAAGGACAAAAATCACGTTCATAAATGAATTGAGTTAGTTTTTTTTTTTTAAGTAAATGGCTGCTGCAAAGTCGTATACGTGGTCAGAATTATTAACAGTAAATATATATTGTACCTAATGTTATACCAGTATGTAAATGTATTACTACATTATTATGTATAATGCATTGAAAATCTTTTTCTTTTTTTTATAGGATAGGGTGACAAACAAGCACACAGTCCACCCGATGGTAAGTGGTTGCTGCGACCCATAGACATCCACATCTATTCCCAATAAAGAATCAAAATACAGATGCGTTGTCACCCGTGAGGACTAAGATGGAATGCTTCTTTTCCAGTAAATAGGCTCTCCGATTCTCTACACTCATCATACGAAACCTATTTTACGCCGGTACTCTGTGAGAGCGTGGTCCTTCCCCGGTCGAGCCGACCCATTCGTACTACAACTATACCACTAATATAGCTGTAGCATGACTCTACCACGTATAAAAAATTAAAAAAAAATCTTTGAAGTTGTACACATACGATTACTGAAACGTTTACCAAGGCTGCCTCGGTTGTCTAGTGGTCGTAAAGGCGAATACTGATCATGTGATCCTGAATTCGACTTCCGGGTCGGGCCAAAAATCAGGTATTGCATTCTGGCATTTGGCAGAGCCAAGAAATTCTCGTTAGCAGTCCGATGTCATGAAGTTGGCGGTATTTCACGCCCGTGCCTCGGAAAGCACGTAAAGCCGTTTGTCCTGCGCCTGTACTCACCCCGGTCGTGTCGGATTGCCGTCCTATCGCACTATGAGAGTGAGGGAATAGAGAGTGAGCTTGTGCTTGCGCATACACTTGTGCATTATAATTCCGTCCTGTACAGATGACTAGTCTCTGTTGAGACTGACCTCTGTGACCTAAGTTCGGTCTGGAGGTCATTATTAATAAGCGTATTCGAAAACACCAATTACATACCACGTAATAAAGAGAATATATTATCATTCTTTTTTTCTTTTGTTTTAAATTCCGTACACGTTAAATGTGGAATTCTCAGACTGGCGACGAAGATTAACCTAAAAAGGTTCGCGACTTCTGGTACAGCATGTCAGTCCAGGGAGATCGATATGTGGCGCTTATAGCCAATCCTGCCCAAATTGGAAGAAGCCAATATCCAGCTGTGCACTCTATAGGTTGAAGAAGAATATTTTTTTCTTTTTAGCTTGATGTTTATATCTTTTGGTAGTTTGTTTTTGTGTCAAACATCAGACAACTTTGCGGTCTTAAAGTCAAATCCTCTCTTCGCACGAATTCAAATAACAAAGACCACAGTCGGAGTCTTCCTATCTCTTTAAGCTTTAGAAATATTTACTACAGTACAGTTGAGCGAAATAAAATCGGTTTATGTGGAATATATTCTGTAATTACGTCGTAAAGCCTAATTTAGCGAGCATTCTTTATAACTCAATTAAAATATCGCATCGCAGCGCAAAATATTACAAAAATCAATGAAACATGCTATGAATTATTTGAAGTCTGTTTCAATTTCCCTCAATAGGAGAGAGGAAGTATCTTCCTAATAACAGTACAAAAAATAAACTGTGGTTGCTAACCCGCCCGCCAAGCATGGTAACTATAGCACATGTACCCATTTAAACAGGCTATAGATGACCTATGCTCAACAGTGGACTTTAGGTAAGTTGTAATGACAAACACACTTTTGCAACAGCATGGTGGACTCTTTCCTGTTCCAAAATCTTCTCAGAAATGAGAGGTTCCGTGTGCTCAGTACGGGAACAACGCTTGGTTCATAAAATAAAAATAAAGAAATACTTTATACGTGTTTCGCTTTACAATCTTTCTGTAAACCGGTCACGATGCGACATTCATAAATTATGTGTTTCACCCAAAATGCAATTTAATGTTAGGTATACAAGGGGCAATACATTAAAATAAACAACCATAAGCAAAACAAAACAACGTTATTACTATTCTCCTTGCGATATATGTACGGTTGTAAGGTCCCTGTGAAGTCAGTTGTGAACCGAAATTTTGAAGGTGAGTTGCGTTTCAATTTAAAATTTTAAAGGTATTCTCGTGGCATTTTGTATTTACTGTACAAATATTTTGCAAAGATTTATATATTGGGTATTTTTATATTATTATTTTTTTAATAATATTATTAAAATAATCACATTTAACAGGTTTTCGCTACAATTTTTAAATATTTAAATTTATATTTGAATCATTTTTTTCATTCATTCATTTATTACTGTCTATCAAAGTCCACTACTGAAACGATGTAAGAATATCCACTAGCCCATTTCATCCTGTGGGTGTCGTAAGAGGCGACAGAGGGAAACAAATCAGGAGATGTGCAGCAACGACTTCCTAATAACGATTAAAAACGAGTTGAATGTAAATTCAAGAAAAACAACTTCCTTCTGCGTGAATCCCATATCTCTGGTGCCCTTTGACATACAGGACCCAAATTCAAACTCGACCGAGCTACTACCTCAAGGTATCATACCAAATTTAAAGTCACTCGGTCCAGTGGAACGGAAGTTATCGTGTCGGCATACAGACTAACAGACTGCCAGCTAAAACCATTAACTTCCTTTCAATGCTACGCAGAAGGAAGTTAATAAAAAAACTGCGGTTCCCGACACGCTTGTCATGTTGCAACTTTGTCAAATAATTATAAGGCAATGTATGTGGGAAGCCTAGGTTCAGCAGTGGAGTTTAACAGGCTGTAGCGATAACGGTAAGTTCACTACTTAACAGAGGCCTCCCCATAGGTTGCGTCATAAGTGTCAACAGCAGTTTTTTGTATTATGTAAGGTACGTGAGGATAATATTGTCACCTTAAGCTTTGCCATCCTATAAAACCAAAACTAGGAGGAGGACAGAGACAAAACCACAATGTCGTATACTAGAACTGATATATTAAGAAAAAAAGAGCAAACAAGCTTTCGCAATAATAAAAAGAAAAATTCGAAAAATAAACTTAAAAAAAAACTAACTTCACTACCCAGTAGTAAAATAGACTAAAATATTTACTGTAATATCAACTGTCAAAATGGCGTCGATAAAGCGGCGCCCGTTATTATTTGAAAGACCGATGAAGAGCTATCGTATCAGAAAGCCAACTATGCAAATAAGGCTGTAGTTTTTGAGTTATGAGAAAGTGACCATATTAACCGGATGACCATATCACCCTCACGTGCTATAGTTGTTATGATTTAGCCCATCTCCTAGTTTGTTTCCCTCTTTCACTACTTACGACAGCCACAGGATTATGTCAATAAGATTTTTAGATATCTTTTCTTAATTAGCCTCTAATAGTTCACAGCTGGACATAAGCCTATCTCCTATTGATGCAATGATTTATTGTAAATGCCTCACTTGACAGACATGTTTGCAGGTGCAAAAAGTCTCGGAACTTTATTGCTGTTTCTTTTAGCATATCTTGGCATATTATATCCAATGTGGGATTCTATATGACATTTTTTTATAGAATATGGACATCTTTATATATCTTTGATTAAGAATCAAAATGTAGATGCATTTTCATCCGTGAGGATTAAGATACGAATAGCATGCCTCCTTACCAGTAAGGCCGGCCACATACATACGGAATTCTGTTTCAGGATTCTGTTTCGGAATTCCGAACGTGTCGGCCACACACATACGGAATCCCATTTTGCCCGCAAAATTTCGAACGGAAAACTACCGTATGTGTGTGACGGGTCATAGATTTTATATGGACTTGCTGCGTTCGGAATTCCGAATCGGAACATCCGTATGTATGTGTTGGGCCCAAAAATGGTTACCGGTTTTCTACAACTACCATACGAAACAACAGTATAGAGCTATTTAACACTGTGTCCTTTCCCATTCCTTGCCCACCCATTGCTGTTGCAACTATAATATGGCGTAGCTAAATCACGTTAATATGGATGGTGGATATTAAAAACAAAATTTTACTTATTTCCAGAAAATAATTCAAGATGAAGTATTGGTTGCTGATAGCGTCAGTTATAGTTGTGGCCACTGCCCACGGTGGCCATGAGCATGATCATAGTCATACCGACCATAACGATGGCCATGTGAGTAAACGTAATCTATACATATAAGTAAAATTGAAGTGTCTGTCTGTAATATTAAATTAACTGGTTGGTTTCTATTAAACTCAGAGGGTTATTTGCATGCTATTAAGACAAAAATATGTTTTTTGTTTTTCTGTTTGTCTGTCTGTCTGTCCGAGCTAATCTTCGGAATGACTGAACCGATTGTGATGAAACTACAAACAGACCGATAGCAATGCGAGGAGGGATCTAGACCATATTTTATCCAACAAACTTGAAGGTTTTTTTTTTTGAAAAACCGAACGAAAAAACCATTAATAGTCCCATCGCTAGTCTATAGTAACATTCCCGCCTTAATTGTATTACAGCAGCAGCCTGCAAACGGTACTATGGCTAACAATTGACCAGGTTTTTTATATTCGAAGAAAAGAAGATCAAACAAAGAAATATGTTAACGCACTTTACATTTTCCTGAAAGATTTTTAGCTCTCACACATGCAGGTATTGCATGAGTGGACGTTGTGATGATGACGATTAAGACATATGCAAATTTTCATATAATGTTTTATTTCAACGCCGCTAATGCGGTTAATCAGCACTTGAAAAACTATACAACATACAACTTTATTGGAGCACTCTCTGGTATTCTCATCTGTTAATACCTTAAATATAGTAAAATAAATCAATAAAAATTACATAAATAAAAACCCAACCAAGAAAGAAATCAAGAAGCTCTCTATTGAGGAGACTAAAAGGCCGAGAGCTAGGGGAAAATGGAAAGAAACCGGCGATATCAAGGAGCAGCGCCTTCTGCATTTGAATCCGCAGCTGTCCGTCACGGAGGTCCAATCGCCTCAGATGACTCGAGAGGCTGAACGGGATTAGCCCGTTCGCAGAAACGACTATAGGAATAATTTCGGTCAGCAGACCAACCCGCATGTCGGTCACCTCGTTATATATTTTTTTCTTTTCTTTTTTTTCTTTTAAAATAACGTTACACCCACACTAGGATTTTCTCCTGTATCGTGGAGGCAGTTTACAAACACAAATTTCACAAGGACAAACATCCAGACCCGGAACAATCATTTGTATGCCATACAAATACTTGTTCCGTGCGGGATTCGAACCCGCGCCCCCCAGCGCAGCAACTCATTGCTAAGCCACTGCGCCACGGAGCCGTCAAATTTATTTTTATTTATTATTATTATTATTTACTAGCGATCCACCGTAGCTTCGCGCGGGTGATTTCTATATCTCAACACCAGTGCCACCTACCGTGTCCAATTATCTAAACTATCCAGAGACCCCCAAAGGGACGCAAACGTACAAAAAAACTTTATCAAAATCACTCGAGCCATTTTCGAGATTTAGTGAGATTGATTTTATATATAGAGATTTTTAAGTAATCACGTCATTTCATTGCAGCTGCGTGCTGTCGTCAAATTGCAAGAGCCCCAAGGCGATAAGGTGCATGGCAAGGTGACCTTCACCCAGCAGCCCGATGGCAAAGTACACATCGAAGGCCTTATCGTCGGCATGCCTCCAGGTCACTATGGATTCCACATCTACGAGAAAGGAGATATCACAGAAGGATGTAGTTCCAACGGCGGTCATTTCAACCCGGAAAATGTGAGGATTTCTAAACCCTTTCATTTCTCTAAGAATAATATTATTACAGTATATCATGTGATTGGCCATAAGAACTAGATACTTAATTACTTAAAACATGGCATTCCAACCTCTTTCTCAGGTGTAATTTGCTGAAAAAGCAGCCGTCCTTATATTTTATCGGGGATGTTAGCCGTGTAGTGGCAGTGTAATAATATCCACTACCCCATTTCGCCACCTGGGTGTCGTAAGAGACGATACAGGGAAACTGAAACAGGAGATAAACAGCACCATCTACCGGATAATAACTCTAAATTACAAAAAAATCTGCGGTTGCCAACCCACCTGATAAGTGTGACAATAATGGCAAAATTCCCCCTATAATGGCTATATGTGTTCAAGCCCCCTTTTGACGTTTGTAATAGATAAATCAATAGTACATTTTCATTCACACAAAATATCATTTTATTTTATTTATGTAGCGGGCAAGGAAGAATCAGCAAATAATACTATATGATGATTATCCCTTACAAGGGAAGGTGCGTCATTAATATACACTAGAAATAAGAATGGGCCGAGAATCGAGCCTTCAGGGACACCCATTGGTACAGGTGACCCGGAAGAACATTTACTATATAATATCGTGGACTATATGCTCATTTGTCATATTTAATTCAATATGACAAACGAACATATAGTCCACCTGATAAAGAATAAAAGGCATTCCCGAAAACAAACATTACGTTTTCACAATAATTGGCTCCAGTTGGGAGTTGAAGTCATGATCTGCGATGTAGTTAGATGATCCAACTACTACCACGCGGTCAAACCATAACTGAAAATTGTCTGATATTATATAATATTTTCCCATGATACTCGTCAAAAAGTGAATTTTAATAAACATTTCAAAACATATTTTAAGTTACTCTTTTAGATGTAGATGTCTATGGGCCACAATATCCACTTACCATCAGGTGGGGGCTGTGTACTCGCTTGTGACCCTTATTCAAAAAGACTGATTCCTGTTTATTTGTAGAAGGAGCATGGTCACCCCAACGACGAGAACCGTCACGCTGGTGATTTGGGCAACGTTGTGTTCGACGAGAATCACGTCAGCAAGGTGGACTTTTGGGACAACGTGATCAAACTGTCGGGACCGCATTCCATCATCGGTAGAGCCATTGTCCTACATTCGATGGCTGACGACTACGGGAAGACTGAGCATCCGGATTCTAAGAAGACTGGAAACGCCGGACATCATGTAGCTTGTGGTGTCATCGGATATTTGTAAAGATATCTCGGTTTAAGGTTTTAAGAATATGTTTTGAAAATAAAAACAGATCCGATAGAAAATCGGAAAATACTTTTGAGTTTAAAGAGTTTTAATACGTACATATCAAATTACAGACTACATAAAAATACAGACTAATTTACTAACAGAGCATAAATAAATATCTATTTTGGTTTTAATATTAAAACCAGTTATTTATCAAACCTTTTATTGAACTTGTTAGGTTCGAAATTCTAACCTAATAAACATGTTCTAAATGTTTTTACAAACCGAGCGCCAAATCTGTTCGATTATGCGGCTCACATGGAAGCACATGTAGCAGTTTACAGTGTCCTTATTTCTGTGCACAAAGTACTTTTTCAATTTTCTTCTTTTTAGTTATCAGCCAATAAGAACTGCGGAACATAGGGCTCTCAAGTTAAAGAGGAATTTGCCTAACGTCCTGTTGGGCAAACTGTCGCAGTAGCAGATGTTTCTCATCTTTGATACCGCTTCCCTTGGATATTGTTCCACCTGATCTGATCTTTCTAACATATCCCATAATTACCTCTTCTGATTCTCTTACTGCCATCACAACTTTTAATATTGTGGAACATTCGGTGGTCCTCATTAGCAGCCGCGAGTTTTTATGCTCAGGCAACACAGGCCTATTTATTAATTAAGTATTATTTATTATGTATCTTGAATAAATAAAATCTATTCTAATCTACCACACCACGTGCTACGTCAAACATTTCACTCAGATCTTAGGTTAAACAGAACTGTCATTTGCCTTCTACTTTTCTCATCCTTGATTCATTGTTCATACTAGTCCTTCAATCTAGTTTCATACGGTTGCCAGCTATTGAGTATTAAAATATACTGTTATCCATGACTAAGCTAAGTCACCCTGAGTCATTTATGGATCCCCTTGGTAAAATTTGAGTGTGAAATTCTTAGTGCGCCATTGCACAATAAGAGCAGAATATTTAAAATCACATAACAAAACATAACATGGCTCATCAGGCATAATAGGTACACGTAATTTCATCACGAGTAAAAATAAAATAAGCATGAATATTCATGAGTATTTCGTCTCTATAATTTCAAAAAAATAAAACGCGGGATTACATAATTCTATTAAATTGTTTTAATTTGAATCGAGACATTTTTAAATAATTTTAATATTTGACTATAAGTTTATTTATCTGTCCTTCATGTTTCTTTGTGTTGGCCATCCACATAGCGAAGAACATTCCTGCTGCCTGAAAAATATATGCAACTTTGTTTTAAATATCAGTCAGATCGCAAATGCATACATAATACATACATAGAGCAACACAACCCTCTGCCGGACCGGAAGGGAGTGGACATACACAGGCGTTCTCTAAGTCCAGGCGGTCCTATGCGTACAATAAAACTAGTTGCAGAAGCACTGCTCACTAGACTATATCTAGAGGCACGACTGAATCGACTTCCTACAAAAATGCCGAATTGTAGTCTTTCTGCTGCAAAAAGAGATTTCTGTCACGTCAAATTTACAAAAAGATGGCGTTACCTTTCATATATAAGTAATTTTTAGTCACATCATGACTATTTTACTTATTTTTAAACTAAAAACTAAAATAATAACGGTCGTGTTGTTTCGGATGTAAACAAATCCGAACAACACAAGTTCCGAACATACAATATGCAGATCGGTCGAACAACAGATCCGAGCCTGTATCCCAGTTATCGCTGTCACCGAGCGATACTGTTATAATTTATCCATGTATCTGTGACATTGTTAGGTTATTGTTTTAATTGTTATGTGTGAGTTTTCTTACTGGCAGACGATTGTTTTAGTGTGCGCAGATTTCTCTTCGCAAAAAATGACAGACAGTTCTGTATCGAGAAAAAACCGGCCAAGTGCGACTCGGCCTCGCGTATGAAGGGTTCCGCACCACCACGCACGTTTCTAGTAGGGAAGCCCCTTTTAATTTTTAATTTATTTTTATGCTTGTTGCCATAGTGGCAACAGAAATACACATTCTGTGAATAATTCAACTGTCTACGTATTACGGATCATGAGATATAGCCGGCTGACAGACAGACGGACGGACAGCTGAGACATAGTAATAGGGTATCGTTGGTTACCCTTTGGGTACGGAACCCTAAAAACGCTATGGCTACTCCCCTCCGCTCCGACAGAGGCCCCCCGTGTTACTCTAAGTATACATACAGTACTCGTATATCTAATACTTTTAATATGATATTAAAAATAAAAACCTCAAACCAAAAACATGTCACGGCGACCCCTACCAGCCAGCTTGCGTCCGACCGGAGCGCGTACAGAATTTCGTCCTCACAACCTTCGCTGAAGTAATTCTCAGACCTGAGAAATTAACATATACTTATTACAAAATACCTGAGAGCAGCGTGTTGCCATGAGGTGGTGATAATCAATCACCCATATCGCCTCGTGGGTGTCATAAATATAACTATGGCTTTCTTTTTGGCTTTCGATAAACCATCATCTCGTTTACTCCAGGCGTAAATTACCCAGACCAGCGACCAGCGACAACCGCATCAAATTTGCGAGACGATGGTACTGCTTCTATTGCAACTTCTAAAGCGTGATATTTAGAAAATCCTTCCTGCACGAGGCAGAGGCTCAGGAGTGGTTTTAGTAGAAATTGAGTGACGAGCGTGCACCACATCCGGCGCGCATACCAAACACACGCTATTTTACAGTGCCAAGAGTGGCGGTCGCTTTTAATGTAATTTGTATACCGTACCGTACGTGTTTGTGGCGTGTTGTAGTAAATGTTTCTTTCCTTATTTCTTTTTTTCTTTCGTACACGCGCACAAGACTCACGTCCCGCCCAACGTACCATATTCACGTCTTACAACGGATTCACACGTTACATAAGATATGCAGACTGTTAGCGGACAAAAGTCTGTGCGAGTTACATCTTCCACTCGGTACATACAAGTCAATCGTTTTTTAAATCTCATGGTGTGCAGTAGCGTGCCATTAAGCCATAGGAGTAAATATTTATCTACTCATGTGATTAAGCTATGCACTTTGGGAACGAATTAATCAAACTTGCGGATAAGTTGCCGTAAAGTCCGTTTTTTTTTTATATTGCATAAAGGTATCAGTAAAAAGTAAGTAAGTAAAGTAATAAGCCGATGTATTTTTTATATTTATAACCTATTTTGATTACATAATATTAACTTAATGAAAAAACCAAACGCAAGATGATTCTCACCGAAAAATAATTCCCACCTGAGTTAAACAATCTGTAATTATGTCTTAGCGTCGAGCGACGAGAACTGCTCTTAGTCAACTTCACAGCAACCAAATACCATCAGATGAACCTTCAAAAATATATTTTGCCAGGTAAGTCGATCAAAAAAATAGCCAACTTTTATGGACGAGTGGTTTTTGATCTTAGCCAACTCCTATGGCATGAATAACCAAATTTCTCATACAACTGTGGCTGTGATCTTACTGCAAACACGTCTGGTAGAGCTGCTGTCGCGCGTATGAAGTGGGTGCCCGGTAAGCGCGTGGACAGCACGACAGACTGATGGGCTTCTGCACGGCAAGGTAGTCTTCTGGACCGTTAAGACCACAGCATTCGTACTGAGGGTAGAAACACATTTCATATTAAGGTGCGAATTAAATTTTACAATAGTACGTTAGGTTCAATGACGTTTCATCATTGTGTAGTAGCGGCGTAATTATATCCTCTACCCCAAACATCCCGTGGACGTCGAAAAAGGCAACGACAGAGGGAAAATGAAACAAGATAGCAGCGTCTTCCTGATAACAGCCAAAAATAGTAAAATATCTGCGGTTGCCATCACGCAAATGCCTTCTATAAGGTAATTTATGGAGGAGGAGGTTCAGCAGTGGACTTTTGATAGACTATAAATGAATATCAAAAACTAAAAACAAAGATAGCTAAATAAGGGTAATTAGTTATCATTCTATGTGCTGTAATTTTTCAAATACATAATAGGGTAACATTTTGTCGATAAAAAACACTGAGTTTTTCGGGTATTTTAGGCTAGTTCTCAATATGGTGCGTATAAACAACTGATAAAGTTCCGTCACTAATCAATTTTTGTTATAAGTGACCAACACAAAATATTAAAAAGGCTGTGGCGCTATCCCGCTTGCCAATCCTGACTTTGATACAATTCTTGGGTAGGCCTACGTTAAGCAGCGTAATTGAAGCTTGACACCTTTAATGAATGAATGCATAAACGTGTATATGACACAACTTTCAATTGCCATCATATGGACTACGTGCTCGTTTGTCATCCTTATTTGTATAAAAAAATAGTTCACGAGATGACAAGTGGATACTACAGCCCATGGACACCTGCCAACATCTGCAAAAAAACTACAGACGCATACCAACTCTTAACCACTAAGATTAAATATTTTTGAGATTATAGACATTCAGAAATCACCCGTGCGAAGCCGGGGCGGAGCACTAGTTGTATATATAATTATTACCGAAAGAAAACAAATAACTGATAAACTGACTGTCGTTTGTAGGTCATCCCAGAGTTTCTGATGTTGCTCCAGGTTCTCGTCAGTGACGTTACGGAAGAAGTCGTTACGAATCCACTCCGAAACCCTGAACTCCAGGACGTACCGCTGCACCGACACGTACACTGCCACCAGCAGCTCTAGCACCATGAACATTATCAAGCACCCTACGTACTGAAACAACAACTTGATGATTGTAATTAATTGTACTTATTTATTTTATTTAAACTCTTTTTTTACACATATTAAATTAAAGATACCCTGATAGACTTAGTAAAGTTTTTTTTACCTTTATTGCTAAACATTGACCTCTTCCAGGTACACCCTTGGTGAAGGAGATTATAGAATGGGTCACACCAACATGTTCTAATTTGAAAATAAAACCTATATAGCTTTAAATCTATGTTTATGAAAATAACAATAGTTTTTGTTTCATCCAAATTGGTGCAGAAATACAAAACTTATAACGTTTTGAAGTTTCACAATTTTTTAAATTTTTACCCGCTCGTTCTCTGTAACGTGACGTCACAATCCGACAGAGCGAACGTGCAGTAGGTACTTGCTAAGTTCTGTACTAACCGCGCGCTCGGAAGTATATGGTCGTTTACCTACATATTACATCGAATGTCAGAGTTAATGTCCGGTTGACTGTATTAGATGACATAATACTTATAATAAACTCAACGACTATACAATAATTTTGAACTAATAATTTATGAATAATCTAATCTAATATGAATAATGTAATCTAATACGAATACTCTAATCCAATGTAATCAATATTATTTAAGATGAATAATTTAATCTAATAATCTAATCTATTATTATGAATAATGTAACAATGAACTATTTATAATATTTGACATTTGTATGCCCATGAGGCTGATCACAGACTGAACTTTATTTGTGTTTAAATAAGACCTTTTTGTAAACTGTGAATCACAAATGAACTATTTGATTTGATTTATAGACTAAAGTATTGAACATTTAGCTTTTACATGATTATATTTATATGTATAGTCACGATGTGTAGTGCTGTATAAAAAAAAAATGGAAGCGGGATTTGAAAAAAGACAGTCAGCTAATCCGCCAAAAGTGGATATTTTTATGGTTGCGCAGTATTTTTCAGAAAATTATGATTTTTTATCATCAGAAATGAACGGAATAAAGCTCTAAAGGTAAGTTACTAATAAAAGATTATGAAAAGTATACAGCTTTACCATTGATTGGTAACTAGGCAGTAATAAATAGGTAGGTATTAACTGACCGAACCACGAAGCTGCACATGATTTACAACGACATAAAATGAAAAACTTACTTAAACTTACTAATGCAGTGAGTATAAATCAACTCGCACTGTTATTTAGTACCTAGTGACACGTGAAAAAATTTTGTGAGTTACGTAGTTCGTCAGTGGTTGCAAACATATGGTCCTAGTTTTACTTTGACTTACTTTTGAATAAACTGATTGCGATATTACTTTGGTAGTTGGTACCTATTCTGTTTTGAAAATGCAATGGTCGTAATCATTCAATGCGTGTAATACTAAACTGATTTTAATGAAATTTTGCATTAAGGTATAACTTGATCTACAGGATTTTATCTTCTCATATCGGACTGTTATTCCCAAGGAGCGTGATATAACAGAAATTTAAAAAAAAAAATAGAAAATAAAGGTTACTGATAAATAAATAACATGACAAGAAAAATATGGAGTAATAAATATGGACAGAATAAGAAAAATATAACAATAAAGACTAGTGGTGCGTGTCGATCTGTGACGTCACATCGCGATGCGGAGCAAAGCGGTCGTCCTTACCGTAAAACACCACTTTAATCATCAATATTTCAGTCATTTTAAAGGTAGAAAAATAAGAATACCGTTGAATTCGTAATTTTTATACAATTTTTTGATACCCTTAACAAAATTGGGTGGCCAGACCCATTGTGTACAAATAATATAATAGAAATTAATGCAGCGACGAAACAAAACACGAGCCAGCCGTTTGGTTACTAACTAATATAGTAATTAGTTTGACGAAAATTCTTTGCGTCAATGTACCGTGTCAGTTCACGGTGTCAGTTATGATAATGTTATTTTTGTCCTTTGCACAACCTTACCAAATATAATATCTTAACGTTTTCCTTCGCCGCCCCAACGCAACCGAAAGTCGCTACAGCCACCAGAAGCACGCATGCCACTATAATGATCACGTCACTTGCGAAGGTTCCCGTTGTCTGACTCTCGCCGTACTGCTGCAGAATCTTAATATCGACGACTGCAAAGCCGGATGTGCATATTGCTACCACCTGTAAATTTTTGTTTGATATAAGAGAGTAAATATTTGTAGTGAAAAGTAAAGTGAAAATTTCCTTAAGCGTTTTCACTTTACTTTTTTTATATTTAATTCACTTCATTTTCCACATTTTTTTATACGTGGTAGAGCCATGCTGCAGCTATATTAGTAGTATAGTTGTAGCAGGAATGGGTCGGCTCGACCAGGGAAGGACTACGCTTCACAGAATACCAGCGTAAAATAGCAGCTTAACGCTCCTGTATTTCGTATGGTGAATGTAGAGAAACGAAAACCCTTTTTACTGGAAACAAGGCATTTCATCTTAGTCCTGCGGGTGACAACGCATCTGCATTTTGATTCGTAATTGAGGATAAATGTAGATGTCTATGGGCCGCAGCAACCATTTACCATCAGGTGAACTGCGTGCTCGTTTGTCACCCTTATCCTATAAAAAAAGCGCGTTGAATGCTTTTTGGATGGATTAAATGTTATGAGTTCGCATCACCAACATTCTGTAATAGCAATTGCCACAATAAAATATTTACTTGTGTAGTGCCTCAAGAGCATGCCTAATAGAGTCCCTCTAGATACACTATAATAAAGTTCATAAAAATAGGAATACAAACTATACACAATCCGTTGAGAACGAAAAGCAGCCATTTCGCGCAGGCATTTCCCAGCAAAGTCCAATTGCACATCATCGTAGTAGGTCTAACCGTACACACACGTAGGACTCTGATCAACTGTGTACTAGCGACCAAGCTTGCGAACACCTATTTTTCTTTCGTATATAACTTTCACAAATATAATAACTCCGAAGATAGAATTGCACAGTATTATAGACTTTTGTACTTTAGTTTAGAGTCTTAATTGTGTTATGCTTCCTTCGGTAAAAACAATGGGTTGGTTGTTCTTTGTTGAAGTTTGCTGGGAGCCAACAGATGTGGAGGCAGGTGAGCTGTTATTAAAAGAAATTAGATACTACGTTTAATATATCATATTTGTATGTAAGTCGTTTAAAATCGATTTTTGTGTCGTTTTGTACACTGTTTAGTTGGAACACTTTATAAATAACCATTACCTTTTTATTTTGTTAAGTAATACCTATGTTTACGCGCCTTGACTTACTGTAAAATTCTATACGTAACATTTTAGTTTGCATATTTTCCATGGAACTTCATTATTAAATTCTACTTTAGTTTAAACCTGAGAATAAATATGAATTTGTAATAAGGCAGATTAAGACAGACGTACAAAATGAAATCACAAGGGTTCCCTAATTCCTTGTACAACAGCGGAACCTTCAAAAAATCACCGTTAGAGTCATTCGGGTCAAGTGTGCGCACTTTGGTAAATATTAATTCACTACGCATAAAATAAAAGAGTTAGAAATATAAAAGATGGATCTGAGATAAACCATATAATAGCCTCTAAATTGAAATAAAAACAAGAATAGAAAACTTGGTGGTTTTATTTCTGTAAGCATTTAATTATATAAAATCGAAATGCGCTCACTTGACCCACCCGTACGGGGTAAGTATACGCATATGGGGTAAGTAAGCGCATTCCTTGGATTAATCATAATATACAAAATATTCATTTCAATTCAATATCAGACCTCTCTGGTAACACATTGTTTACCAGACACCGTATATAGTACGGCGTATTCGGTTATAATTAAACGCTAATAGTGGTCATATTCCTCAATCAGAGCTATCATACATAACCACTGTGACATCACTACCTATTTAGTTTTCCTGTGAGCCTGGTACTATAAACAATAATGCCTGTCGATCGTACGCCGCCTAAGACGCTAGCGCACTCTGATCACTCTGCGTCCGACCCAAATATTTGCACAAAGATTGATGAGCCAGAACCTTGTACTATAACCAGCCGAACTAAAAGGAAAAGGGAAGAGAGTATAAAACAATCAGAATTTATTGAATTTAAAAGGGAATTCATAAAAATGTTATCTGAATTTCAAGAAGAACAACGGTTATACCTTGCATCTATTAGTTCAAGCATCGACGAAATCAAATCACAAAACAATAAATTACAGGAGTCCGTGGAGTTCATGTCTGAAAAATACGATGAGGTGATACAAAAAATTTGCCATCTTGAGGAGGAGAGAAAAGAAGATCGGAAGTATATACAACTTCTAGAAGAAAAGGTAGAACACTTGGAACGCCAGTCCCGATCAACCAGTATAGAAGTAAGAAATATACCAAAAGAGGCATCTGAAAATAAACAAGATTTGACTGGTATTATTATTAATTCAGGTAAAGCCATTAATGTCCAATTTCAGCCATCAGAAATCAAGGATGTATTTCGAGTCAATTCCAAGACAACCAATAAACCAATAATTGCAGAGTTTACAAATGCCATAATAAAAGATAAATTCCAAAAATCAATAAAAACTTTCAACAAGAATAACAAAGATAAGCTAAGTACCAATCATTTAAATCTAAGCGGTCCAAAAACTCCTGTCTACATATCGGAAAGTCTCACATCCAAGACTAAGCGTTTATTCTTCCTGGCAAGAGAATTTGCTTCGACATACGGTTATAAATACTGTTGGACTTCATACGGTAAAATATTATTGCGTAAAGAAGAAGGTTCTACGCTAATAAGAATTAATAGTGAAAGTGATATAAACAAACTTAAAAGTAAAAAATGACTATCTATTTGGTTAAAAATTATTATTATTTTAGTATTTTTTTTTAAGCATGTATTCTATAATATGTCTTTTCTTTGTAATTTTTACTGTTATGTCTCTTTTATTTTATATAATTTTAATCAAAACACAAAAAAATTTGCCTGTAACACACTACATACAAACACAATCAGTATAAACATACTATTACCAACTAATTCAGTACTCAACATCGAATGTTCAAAAAAATTGTTCAAGTATTTCTATCATTGCACAGCATTATCATCTAAAATTGAGTATAGACTAAAAACAACGTATGAGTATCTATACTGTCTTACAAATTGTAACAAAATATGTAAGTTGTTTTCATCGTACCCCCAAATCTGGTCATATATATTTTTTTTCTTTAAGTAAAAACGACAGAAATAAATAATATGTTTATTAACGATGAACTAGAAAGCCTGTTAAAACCTTCATGTTTTAAGATAGAAGACCCTGCTAAGTGTTGCACCATTCTAAATTTAAATAGTAAAGATCCCTTAAGTATATTAACAGTAAATATCCGAAGTGTTAATCGGAATATTGACAACCTGCTTATTTTCATTACGAGATTACAGGTAAAACTTGATGTTATTGTGCTTACTGAGTGCTGGATAGATGAGGACAGAGAAGTACCCTCAATTTCAAACTATAATACATTCCGTACTGAAAAATCGATAAACCAAAATGATGGTGTAATTGCTTATGTTAAACGACAGATTATTGTAAATGCCTACGAACCTACCCCGAGTGATGGAAATTTTTTGATCTTAAGCCTTGGTACGGAATACACTATAGTTTGTTCGTATAGACCTCCCTGTTTCAATAATCCCACAAACTATTTGGATGCTCTAAATGCTATATTATGTAAGATTGATTGTACAAATATTATTCTCACAGGCGATATTAATTTGGATATTTTACCTGACAACCTATCTCGTTACTCATCCGAATACATAAGTATGCTCTTATCTCATGGTTTATTGCAATATGTTAATTTACCCACGAGGAAAAACGCGTGCTCAGATCACTTTATGGTAAAAAGCATGAAGGCAATTAAAACGATTGTTTTTGATGAATTAACCGATCATTGTCCTATACTTTTTTATATTGAACAAGCGAAGTTCGAAAAACGAAGCTTAAATAACAAAAAAGTATTATTAGATTTTGATAACATAAACAAAGACTTAAAGCAGTTAAATTGGGTAGAGTTATATAACGAATTTAACGTGAATTTAGCGACAAATATTTTAAGTAATACTCTAAGGAAAGTTATTAATGCTAACAGTAAAGTTGTCAATATTTCAAAAAGAAACAAGCCACTAAAACCATGGATTACTCCAGGGGTAATAAGATCAATTAGGAAGAGAGATAGGCTTCACAAACGACTTAAAAAATTACCCGAAAATGATGAAATAAGAGAAGTATATAAAAAATATAGGAATATATGTACAAACATTATCAAGTCGTTAAAAAGGCAGTATTATCAAAATGAACTACAAAAAAACTTGGGGAATCCAAAAAACACTTGGAAGTTAATAAAAGACGTATGTTTTTTAAATCAACCTAGAAATACATCCGTTGCATTGAGTAAAATTGCTGAAACACCAAAAGTATCTCTCAACATAGTCAATAATTTCTTTATATCAATTGGAAATCATCTGGCCAATACTATCCTAAAAAAGTTAAATAAAACTGACCTTCAACTTGCCAGGGAAGCTAATCAAATTGGTCCAGCTCAATCTATGTCACTTTTATTAACAGATCCGGAAGAAGTTAGACTCATAATTAGTAGCCTTAAATCCAACTGTGCTTCGGGATGGGACGATATTTCTGTAGGTTTTTAAAAAAAATTAACTCCTTGTTAGCGCCTCACATAGCCCATATATGTAACTTAAGTTTTCTATCTGGTGTTTTTCCGGATCAATTTAAACAAGCAATAATTTGTCCAATACATAAATCAGGAGACAAGTCATTAGCACATAGGCCAATAGCGCTATTATCATCACTTTCTAAGATACTAGAGAAGCTTGTAAATAGACGACTAACTAAGTACCTAGAAAATAACAAACTTCTTGCTGATAATCAATATGGATTTAGAGCAAATCGTTCAACCGAAGAGGCTGTTTTTAATTTGACCACTAAAATAACACAATATTTAGATGAAGGTAAGAAGTGTTTAGGAGTTTTCCTAGATTTGCAAAAAGCATTTGACACAGTATCTATTCCTATCCTTATAACCCGTCTTCAGAATTTTGGGATTCGAGGAACAGTATTGGACTGGTTTAAAAATTTATCTTTCCAACAGAAACCAAAAAGTACGTATTGATGACTGCCTCAGTGACACTGCTATCTGCTCCTATGGAATTCCGCAAGGCAGTACACTGGGACCAACCCTCTTTTTGGCTTATATTAACGACTTGTGTCACTTAAATATACATGCCGCAGACCTTTTCATGTTTGCAGACTATACAGTCTTACTCTTTCATGGTCCGAGTTGGAAATCTGTTAAAAAATCCACTGAGGAAGGACTTTGTAAGGTTACTAGTTGGTTGGAAGATAACATTAAACACCACCAAAACAAAATTTCTATGTTTTTCAAAAACCGCTGCTAGCAATCCACGAAACGAATTAAAAATAATAATTCACACGTATCCTTGTAATAGAAACTATAACAACCATACAACATGTGAGTGCCCCATTCTAAGTAAAGCTGACAAAATTAGATATCTCGGTATAATAGTTGATGATAAGCTTAATTGGGCTCCACATATTTCTTTTATTTCTAATAAAATCAGAAAGTTTATTTATGTTTTTAAGAATTTAAAAACAGTTGCAAACAGAAAACTATTGCTACAAACGTACAAAGCGCTATGCCAGAGCGTTATCAGCTATTGCATATGTTCCTGGGGATGTGCTGCTAAAACACATCTTATAGAATTAGAGCGAGCCCAAAGGGCTGTACTAAAAGTAATACTTTCCCTTCCTTACAGATATTCGACAGAAATG